AGAGAAAGAGAGAGAGAAAGAGAGAGAGAAAGAGAGAGAGAAAGAGAGAGAGAAAGAGAGAGAGAAAGAGAGAAAGAGAGAAAGAGAGAAAGAGAGAAAGAGAGAAAGAAAGAGAGAGAGAAAGAAAGAAAGAAAGAAAGAAAGAAAGAAAGAAAGAAAGAAAGAAAGAAAGAGAGAAAGAAAGAAAGAGAGAAAGAAAGAAAGAAACAAAGAAAGAAAGAAAGAAAGAAAGAAAGAAAGAAAGAAAGAAAGAAAGAAAGAAAGAAAGAAAGATTGATTTTAAAGAGAAAATTTCACACTGTTTTTGTGAACATATCTTTCTGTTTCCCACCACCTAAACTGAGGACTCTCTGTGAATTCATGTTTGAAACAGATAATCCCAATATATGATCTGGACTGTTTCTTTGGATTTTAAATTGAAACCTGTTGTACACATATGTTCATTAGTTGTTCACAACTATTTACAAAACTGAATCTCTTAAGTGCATCAGTGTGTTGAACTTTGTATTTTGATATTCATTGTTTGTAAACTGGTCCCTTTAGCAAGAAAAAGAACACAACAAATCCCATCATTAACTCAGGACTGCATTCAAAGTAGATGTGGAGCCAGTTTTATAAAACTAAGAAATATATGCATTTTTGTAGATATTTCTATCATAAATGTGAGTAAGGATAACGGTTTACTTGGGTTTAGAGTTTTTGCTGATGAACTTAAGCCTAACCTAAGATACCTGCAGGTAAAGTAAATACTCTAGCCTTTGAAATGCTGAAAGCCATCTACATGGCTGTCACTCATATGACAATAAAACTGGTGTCTATAAAACAGAGCTATAAGTCTACCTTTAACACAAATCACTCCCTGCGCAAAACTAATCCCACGCATGGGTTGACCTTTACCCAACACAGGAGTAACCCAGACTGTCTTCCCCAGCATATTTTTAATACAGACTATGGGGGCTTTTTCCCCCATCTACTGTATGTAGGAGGTTTGATTGAGCAGGGCCAGCTTGCTTGGCAGATCCTCTGGTATTGACTAACCAAGTGGCTTTTTCTAAATGCACATCCCAGTGTTTGAAAGTTCCACCACCCATTGCTCTCAGTGTAGCTTTTAGCAACTCATTGTAATGCTCAATTTTCCCAGACACTGGTGCATGGTAGGGAATGTGATATATCCACTCAATGCCATGTTCTTTGGCCCAAGGGTCTAGCAGGTTGTTTCGGAAACGTGTCCCATGATCTGACTCAATCCTTTCTGGCGTGCCATGCTGCCATAAGACTTTCTTCTCAAGGCCTAAAATGGTGTTCCAGGCAGTGGCACGTGGCATAAGTTTCCAACCATCCAGTGTCTGCTTCCACCATTTTAAGTTCATAGTGCTTGCCATGCCAAGTTTGTGGGAGCGTGATATAATCAATCTGCCAGGCCTCCCCATATTTACATTTTGACCATCGTCCTCCATACCAAATGGGCTTTAACCATTTGTTTTGCTTGATCATAGCACATGTCTCACATTCATGGATTACCTGTGTAATAACATCCACGGTTAAGTCCACGTCTCGGTCACCAGCCCATCTCTTGTTGCATCTCTTCCCTGATGGCCTGAGGAGTCATGGGCCCAGAAAGCCATAAATTGTTCACCCTTACACTGCCAGTCCAGATCTACTTGAGCCACCTTAATTTTAGCAGCCTGATCCGGCTGTTGGTTGTTCTGATGTTCTTCAGTGGCCCAACTCTTGGGTACATGAGTGTCTACATGACATACTTTCATAACCAGATTCTCTACCCAAGCAGCAATATCTTGCCATAATTCAGCAGCCCAGATGCATTTTCCTCTTGCTGCCAGTTGCTCCGTTTCCACTGCTGTAACCACCCCCACAGCGCATTTGCCACCATCCATGAGTCAGTATAGAGACAGAGCACTGGTCACTTTTCTTGCTCAGCAGTATTCAAGGCCAGCTGGATGCCTTCCACCTCTGTGAGCTGACTCGATTCACCTTCTCCTTCAGCAGCTTCAGCGACCTGTTGTGTGAGGCTCCACACAGCTGTCTTCCACCTTTGATGTTTCTCCACAATGTGACAGGACCCATCAGTAAACAGGGCATATCACTTCTCATTATCCAGTAGTTTATTATATGGTGGCACCTCTTCAGCACGCATCACCTCTTCCTCTGGCACCATTTCAAAATCTTTGCCTTCTGGCCAATTTGTGATCACTTCCAGTATTCCTGGATGGCTGAGGCGCCCTGTTTGAGCCCATTGTGTGATTAATGCAACCCATTTACTCTACTGTTGGTCCCTCTTCGTCTTTCCAGTCCATTACTGCTAATGCACTGGCATATGATGATGGTGTGCTCCATACAAACTTCCTCCACATGGGCTGGGTGCATCGGACTTAATCTGGATCTGTGGGAGCTGTGCATTATCTGGGTCATAGTAAACTACCTCCCGCACAGCTAGCTCCCTCAGGTATTGAATACCTCTCTCCATAGTGGTCCACTTACTTGCATGACATACAAATCTTCCTTGAAGGGATACCCCTCCCTCACACTTGATGGGAGTTGCCTCCAGAGACTGAGACTTTGTGTCTTCTTTCCAATGGCTTTGTTGATGCCCCCTTCCCTAGACAGGGATCCCAGCTGCCTGGCCTCCCTACCCTCTAATTCCATGCTACCAGCCCTGCTATCCCAGCACCTCGGCAGCCGGGTAATGAGTTGCTCACATGGATGGCAGCTGAAATCTTTTCTTGTGTTTCACAACTCACTCAGGGATAAGGATCAGGTGACTATCACTGGCTCTGCCTCCTCCTGTTTTTGTGATGGGCCTGGTTCATCATCACCCTGTACACTGTGTGGGGATTTTCCTGTGTATTTCTTCTTATGTATGGAAGCACCTGACACCATCATGGGTTGGCTCTCTGGTTCAGCTGCAGCACCTCTCCTCGGGGTTGTAGTGGCTGCAGTTTCTGTTACTTTACTACCAGATCCAGAGCCCTTCTCTTCCTCTTGAGGGTGTTGAACAGTGTTTAATAGCACTCGGTAGGCCTGGGTTATGCCCCAGCATGTTGCAGTGAGCTGTGCTCTCTGGAATTACCCAGGTGACAACATACTTTTTCCAAATATTTTACTAGTTCTTCAGGATTCTACACCTGTTTGGGACTGAAGTTCCAATACACCGGCGGTGCCTGCTAGGTACTTGCCCATGCTACTTCACACCCCCAGCCACTCATAATTCTTCAACCTTGTGGTAGATTTCTAGATACTCTTAAATAGTTGCTTAACCCTGAACAAAACCTGAACCACACGCAGGAACACATTGGCTCCTAGCAGTAATACAACCATGTTAATGTCAGCATTCCAAGGATATTTGAAAGTCCTGAATTTCTTAAATGCAGTTGTCAATAGCCCCAGCACCGATGACTGCATCCTGTCCTAGATCAGCATTACATAGTACAGCAAAACCAAAATCTTAACCCAACTCTTGTGGATGGTGATCAACAGCATGGGAAATAGATATTGCAAATAAGGTGATAAAATCTTAAGGAGCCAAGCAATGAACGTTACATCTCGATCTGTCATTATCTCAAACCTCAAGCCCCACATTGGGCGCAAAAAGACTGTCCTGGTTTGAACTTGGCCAGTAGCCGATCACCACATGGCCAGTCGTTTACTCCTCCCTGTCCCCAGTGAAATAGGGGAGGGACAAAAAAAGAAATTTATAGGTTGAATAAGAAAAAAAAACAATAGTAACAACAGTGAGTCCAAACAGGTAAAACACAGTAGTGGCTCACCGACCAGTGACCAGTATGCAGCCCACTCCCAGCAGTGATTTTGACTCGACCAGAAATTCTGCCACGCCGACTGGGAAACTGAAACGGACGCTGAGAGCACCATCCCCTTATATACTGAGCATGATGTCACATAATACAGAATACTCCAATGATCGATTCACGCCCAGCCCTCCAGCTGTGCTTCCTCTCAGCCCAAGGAAAGTTAACTCTGTCCTGGCTGAAACCAGGACAATAGGTATTCAAGTTCATAGTTTGACTGATTTAATCTGGTGTTAAGTGCCTTTTGTAAATCTGGGTCAAATGTTTAAAGTCAGAAACTATATGCTCTCTGTATCTTTTGAAATTTCCATTTAATTCTGTGACATTCTCTACCACTGCATGTATTTGCGGTAAATATCTTAGTATGGTATTACATAATTCTATCAAACTTGTTATCTTGAATTAAATCCCCTGAACTATGTCAGCTGGTAGCATCAGATTTCTTGCCCTATTGTTTTTTACTATTGAACGTTCCCCTATATCTTTAAAAATCCTGGAATCAAGTTAAGAAGTAGGTTTAATTTTTTTGTTGTTGTTGTTTTTTTGTTCTAAAGCCACAGAAAAACAAAAGATTACATATTAGTATGGGAAAGGGTCCAGTGCAGTGACAAATGTGAGCAGTTGTCAGTCAGGAGATGCCATTTTATACCACCCAGGCCCCAAATTTTACCAGCAATAAGACCTTTGCACTGCAGAGGAAACAGAGCCAAAAGAGTTTTTTCAGCACTCCAGAAGAAACTGGCTGCAAAGCTATCCTGCATCAGCAAAACAGATATTCATCTTTCAATACTAGTTAAGTATAGATTGCCTACCTGGAGTGTAACCCCAGGGTTCATAGTATGATGGAAATACACCAAGATGGCAGCCTCTAACAAACTCCTCATAGTCCAAGGGCAACAACGGGCTTGTCGAAGAAAGAAATTCTGGATGTAAGATCACCTGGATATTCAAAACTTACATTAGAGGTGAAAGAAAACCATCATCAATATATTTTAATTATCAATAAGCTTAAACAATTTCTTCACTTTGGTCTTTTCCTAAGTATCTGGCCAACACCTCCTTTGACCATCTGTTCTCTAATTTACTTTCCACACTAAAATGTATCATGCCTGTGTGCAGTCTTGTCCTGGAAACAGTACTGAAAATGAACCCTTTTTATGGACAAGTCTTCAGCTTTATCATTGTTGATCAAGGAAGACCATGTTGCATTGAGAATTATGCATAAGGCTGGGGTATTTAGCAATAATAAGTTGTTTTTTCTTGGTCTGTTGTACCAAGGTACATAGTATTGGGATATCTTTTTCTAGAGGAGGCCTCCAGAGGATACAGCACTTTTTGAACTTCACTGCATCCAACTGCAATACAGGAATACTTATGGTATTCAATGGATCTCTCAAGAACTGATAGAATTTTGACAAGCCCATCTTCACAATCCTGTGCCTAGGCTAATTAATCTTGCTAAAAGACAAAATACTAACTTAGGCTGATGTCCCATTTTCAGGATCCAAGTTAATTTACCTGCATGACTCAGCAGGGCTTGCGGTCACTGCCTGCATATGTTCCATATTCCACTGCTAAGTAGAGAAGTGCCTTGTATATGCTGTCCAGTCAGCTTTGGAGGAAGAAGTGTGAGGGAAGTGTTTAACCTTCTCTGGGCTTTTTTCCCCACATAAACATACTGAAGCCATTATTCATGTCAAGGATATGCTTTTATCCTTTCTTAATAATATAGTCATGCTACTCACTTGAATAAATCAACACATGAATGTATTCAACCATGGCCTGTAAACTCATTATGCAATCTTATTTAATCCCAGTGAATCAAACAAGATTTTCCATTGGCATTGCTAAGGCTACTTTTCACATGCAAACTGTTTCTGCATGGATATGCCATACATCTCTCAAAATTACTTTCCTTTTGAAGTTTATGGAATTTTTGTCCCTAACATTCAGCTCATTAAGTATTAAGCCTGTTTAATTTTCCAGTGGTAGTGAGAGTTTTGTGCAAATCTGACAAATACGTAGCCAATCAAGTCTGCTGAGCAGGAAGAGGTGTCTGCGGTGTTATATACTACTCGCTTTCAAATGATTTATAGCAGTTAGTTCTGAGGATTTTTTAATTACATTTCTATACAATACATCCTTCCACCCTACTTTTGTTACATCGAGTTTATTATGACCATATTATGTTCTCAGAGCATATTGGAGACACACACTTAGCAGAGAATATGTTAAGCCAGGAAGAAGCAACTAGGAAGTTGAGGAAAATGTTTACCCAGTTATTGTCATGGATTTAAAAGCCAAAAGACTGAGAACAAATGATATGTCATTGTCAGAGGTTCTGTGGATCTGACTTTAAAAACAAGGTTTGGAAGAGGAATAATTTGCAATTTTAGGTTCCACTTTGAATAGATAGATGATAAGATAGTCACCATTAACAGAAAGAATACCAGAGATTGCCAGATCAAAAAAAAGTTTGGCAGACTTATGAAAGTGGTATCTGATAATTTCTGTGGTCTGGCAAGATAGACATGGAAGTAAAGAAAGAATTTATTTACATACATTTAGCTTCAATAGTTGATGTAAATATGAGCACAGCATGAACAGTGAGTATTTCTGCTCAGGATCAAAGCCCTGGTTACCTTCTACAGCAAATGCTGTGTCAGGATGCTGTTAAGAGATGAACCAATACTCCAGAAATGTCTGTGCTCAAACTCTGGGCTTCCAGTTTTAAGAAAATTAATCTATTACAGAGTTTTATATCTGAGTGCAAATGACCTGTGGCACTTTCTGGATTTCAAGACTAGTAGCTCCTCATTCAATACAGAGGCAGCAATGAAAACAATTCCCTAACATCAGATTCTAACATGAAATTAACTTGGTTAAACAACAGAGGATATCTGTGAAATGACTAGTTGTCATTCCTGGAAAGGGAGGAATAGGAAAGTAGTATATTAGTACAATACAGCCTATCAGAATTTGACTGCACTCTTCATGCTAACAATCCAGACGGAGACTGTCTGGATTATATGTGAAATAAATATGACAAAATGTACCTTTACTCTGTCTGTCCGGTTATTGAAAAGGCCAATGCGTCGGATGGTATTGAGGATTGGATCATTGCTATCATCAATCATGTTGTGGGTGGTCACTGGAGGCAGGCAGTGTCGCTAAAGAGAGAAAAGGCAATCCATAAGTCAGAAAAAACTGTTGGCAAAGGGTCCTGTTACCATTTTCTAAGGTCAGTGTAAGACAGTGGGAGATTTTGTCATTGATTTGAATACATTTTTACCCTTTCATTTTAAGGTAAGAAAGGAAAGTTATGATCATATAATGCTGTCTTCTACAAAACTAAAGACACAAATGAGACCATAAAGTCTGTCACAGGACTTGTTTCATTTACTTCAAAATAAAGTATTTGTACTAACTTTTAGAAAGGCCTACCATTTAAAGGTTTTTAGTCTATATGTTATGAATCCTTAAGAGATTGATTTTACGCAAAATTCACACAGTGCAGAAGAAAATAATTAGGAATTCTGGTGCCCTGCATCTTACTGGAGGAATATCCATGGATTCCCCAAAAGAATGTTTGGGTCATACTCTCATTAAGAACAATCACAGCTGATCTTTAAGTGTTACTGAAGTATAATTGCTGAAAACTTTTTGAATGCATGCATATCATGCATGTCATCCTTGTACATAGTCATGTTCATAACTTATACTAGATGTTAGTGTAAATAATACATTTTCTGACCTGAGTTGAAAAGATGGCTCTTTTCATAACAGTTATATCATCTCGGTCAAAAATCTTGTTCAAGTCTGGAATTTCTCCTCTGCAGAGGCAACATAGAACCTATTTTACCAAATGACTTATTATCAGTTGTATAAAGAAAATGAAGAAACGTCAAACAAGCTCTGATCTGAAGTCTGCTGATGTTAACAAGAATCTTTCCTTCGTCTTCATGCCCCCTCTATATTGCCTACATTTTGTTCTCCCATACAGTTGCTGACCTTTCAATTAGCTTCCAAAAAAGCTAAAAAATTATTTTTTTCTGTTTTTCAGATACACCTTGTTTTTGATGAAGTTCCAGGCATCTAATCTGTGCTTTGGGTCACTCACTTCCAATTGTCTTTTGAAAAGATGTGACTAAATCACTAATACAAATTACTTTGTCTCTGGTGCTTTTTTAATCTTGATGTAGCTCATTTTTGACAGTGAGTAAGCCTTTGTGTTACTTAGACATCCCTCATGTCTCTTAAGACTCTTTCATAATGGGACGCTAGTACCTTTGAATTTTTTATCTGATTTGCCTATTGAACAAATAACCTGTATGTGGAAAAAGGGTTCCATATACTTCTCCTGTGCCCTTCCTATGGATGCTAGAATTTCTTACACAAAGAGTAGAAGCACAGAAACATCACAAGCAAGCCATCTCAGTATGTGTCTCTGCAAGGCAGAGTAACCTATATACTCACTTTAGCAGTGCATTGTAGAGTTTCTTTCCAAACTTTTCTTTCACAGACTGTGCAGTGTCCCTAGGAAAATAAATAAATATTATATATGTATAAAACAGGAGAATCCAGGACAAAGAGAATAAAAGAGATTCCTGCTGTTGGAAATTAAATTGTGCTTTCATGTATACTGACGGAACCAAGAATACAGATACAAGTCTGGTTCTCAAAGCTCTTTTATCCAGCCAGCAGCCATACTGACAGATTTCAACACAGCTGAGGATTTGACCTGTATCCAAAGATGAATGCACTGTGAAAGCCTGGAACAGACCTCACTAGTCATTACTTCTGATATTTTACTCTGATCAGTAGACCACACCATCTCAGCTATGAAAAAAGAGAGCATATATATGACTCTACATAGAGAAACATGACCATTAACATTGGATACTAATCAAGACTGAGATATTTCCAGTTTAACTTGGCCTAGTAGAAAGATGTAAGATATAGGAGTTAAACAAACAGGGATTTTAAAGTAATCTTCTCCTTTAATTTTCTGCCCTATTTCCTAAATCAAAGACTTTTGAAAACAAGGTAGTTTGCCATAAACTAAAAGGTAGTTTTCCAAAAACTAGTTTGCAAACAACTGTTTGTAAAGCTCAAGCCACGTTTTAAGCTAATAATAAAGCCTATGCCAGACAAATGTTAGACTTTAGCTAAGAACTAACTCCAGTGAACAACTGTTCTGAATGCAACGTCATTTATATTATCCTGCCCCTAGTTGAAATAACTTGAAAGTACAGCAAGAAGTGCTGTTGTCAAAATAGCAAATGTACTCTCAATTTGAGTAAAACACCCACTTCATGGAATTCTTCCTGCCTTTCTGATTTCTAAGAATTATACTTTGGGCTAAGACAAAATTTGTTAAGTGAAATCCTAAACTTTACCAAGCTGAGAATCCACATACTTGTTTTTAGTTGCTCTCCCAACCCACATAGACACAATAGTGAATGAGTCAATTTTGGATGAGTTTTAAAGCAGCTAAACGTCAAACCAAATTGATTTGAATCCCAGCAAGCTAGTCCCCTCATTACTATATTTTCATAGAATCATGTCATGGGCAATATCCAAAACTTAACCCAGATAGGGTAGAATGCTTTTTCAGAAGCAGAAGAAACAAGAGATTTTGTATCCCAGATCAGCCATCATCTATTCTTTTATAAGTGCCAACTTCTATTTATTTAATTTTTGTGACATTCTTAAAATCATCTAATATTATTATGTGATACTGATATCAGGCAGTTTTATCCAGGAGCTCCAGATTATGACCATGATAATGCTGCATATGATGATGAAGAGGGTCTTTTGCTTTTCACAGAGCACAGTGGGAAGAGTAACTGGAAGCAGCATTTTTTTGCATGATTTCACATCTTTAGGTTTACCTTTACTGTTACTATTGTGTCTGCATTACTGAGTACCAGAGAAATAACCACGTAGCAGAGATACAGCAGGGAAAAACCTTTGCATATTTCATTTAATTTAAACTTTTCTAATATCCATATATTATTTCTTTAATAGATACCTGTTGTATTATATTCAAGCATTACTTACTTTATATAAAAGACAAAGCAGAGACCAAAAGCATTTGTTGCAAGCATGGCTGTTTCTCACTTCACTCACATTATTTTCCTACAGTTCTTGAGTAAGGAGTTCTCATTAAAAACTGGCTATGTTACCCCACTTTAATCATCTACAGCTAGTTGTGTAGATCCTCCGCACGACCACAGAGAGTCCATTTCAGAGGGTGCGTCCCTTCACTCATCTTATACACTTCCTGAAGTGGTATAGGATGAAACATCATTTCATGTGAACTATCACTCCACTGCCAGTGTGGGCAGCTCAGATGCATTACTTTTAGGAAGCCAGAGTTGGACAACTAATTCCAGAGTGGTAACCAGGTAGAATATTTCCTGTAAGTCCCAAGAAGCTTTTGTGTGATGACTCCAAAGATAATCTAGAGAGTAGATAGCTTTCTCATATCTGTTGTCTTTTCCAGATATGGCAAAAGCTGAATGATTTCAATGAGACTTGTTAAACTATTTCTGTCACTGTTTTTGTGAGGGTTTAGTATCCATTAATCAAAGACTTCAACTTGACTACTGATACCCAGAAACTGAGCCAGAGATCATCTGCTGGAGGCAATTAATGAGATAACAAGGAAAATAGTATCCTCTTACAAGGTGCCTTTCATCTATAGATCTCTAAGTCGTTTAGATTTCTATAATTTTATAAAAATAGAATGGCATCAGAAAGAGGTTAAACACAGTGAGACACAGGCATAAAAGCTGAAGCTATGTCTTGTGGGTTTTAGACCCTTTGCTTTAAGACCAGCTTTAGAGTTTAACCGCTTTGGCCACCTGATAAGATGCAAATTTCCATTTCCCTGCTTAGATAATTAATCTGTAAATATGTTGAATAAAATGGCATTTTTCACTTTTTAAAAACAAAATTAATCCTTGATAACCCATCACTGATTTTCTTTATGAATTTGAACCTTCAGTTTTACCATGTTGTTCAGTTCAGAAGTATCCCATATGTGTCTTTTCTTATGCAGAACCACACAGCAGTTAAAGTGAGGTGGAGGTTAAATCTGCAACCTGCTTTGCTTTTTTGTTTGGGAAGCTGTAAAATAAAAACTGTTACTGAGAAGGGCTGTGATAATTTTCCCTTTACAGCTGTACATTTCACTGCTTGGGTATGGCCATTGTTTATTATAGGCTATATAGAAAATTACAGACAATTCCTATCAACTGTTATTCTGCTGGATTAGACAGTACAATTTCCATATTTCTAAATAAACAGGACATGTAATTAGTATATTTTCCCCACCACTGGCAGACAAGCTCACCCTGATAAATTAGCAGGTAGACCTTATTTTGTGGAAGCTCAATGGCATGTCCAAAGGAAGTACCAGAAACAAACAGAAGAATTCAGGACACAGGATTTTCTAGAACTGTGTGCCACTGCAAAAGGAGTACCTTTTGCTAACTTGTTACAAAGACCAGCAAGGCAAGTTTACTAAAAATAACCTAGGTCAAAAAAAGATAAGTATTTGCCCTTATTTATCATTCCCATCTCTTTCACCCCACAAATACGTTCTAATTGCCCACAATCCTCAATTTTAGCAGAGCAAAAAGAAAGACCATTATTCTTCATCAGAAACTTTTGCATGTCTCCTCAATTCATTGTACAAGGCCCTCCATGAGAATGGCAATTACCAGAGCTGCTTCCGGACTGCTTGTCCTTTCAGGGTTTCCACATTGAAATTGTTTGTCTTTGCTGGCATGATGAAGAACACAACAACTGTAACATCAGCCTTATGAACCTACATGGACACAAGATGCAGAGGAAAAAAAAACTCACTACAAGGTATGACAGCCAACTTTAACACTAAGAATTAGTCACAGGAAAAGCCAATGCACTTTGATTGGTTCTCCAGGAAGTTTCTGACCTTATACCTCTCCCTTCAGCTATGAAGTTTTTGTCAAGTCAGAGATATAGCTGAGGACAGACACAGGTAAACAGATTCACCTAAATCCAGTTTGGGCAACAGAGATCATAGAATCAGAGAATGGGTTGGGTTGGAGGGGACCTTAAAGATCATCTAGTTCCAACGCTGCTGCCATAGGCAGGGACACCTTCCACTAGCCCAGGTTGCTCAAAGCCCCGTCCAACCTGGCCTTGAACGCTTCCAGGGAGGGGGCAGCTGCAGCTCCTCTGGGCAACCTGTTCCAGTGTCTCACCACCCTCACAGTAAAGAATTTCTTCCTAATATCTAATCTAAATCTACCCTCTGTCAGTTTAGAACTGTTACCACTCGTCCTATCCCTACACTTCCTGATAAAGAGTCCCTCCCATTTTTCCTGTATCCCCCTTTAAGTACTGGAAGGCCTCTATAAGGTCTCCCCAGAGCCTCCTCTTCTCCAGGCTAAACAACCCCAACTCTCTCAGCCTGTCCACATAACAGAGATGCTCCAGCCCCCTGATCATCTTTGTGGCCTCCTCTGGACCTGCTCAAGCAGGTCCGTGTCCTTCTTATGTTGGAGTCCCAGAGCAGGACAGCACTCCAGGTAGGGTCTCATGAGAACAGAGTAGAGGGGGAGAATCACCTCCCTGAAGTGCTGGCCACACTTTCTCTTGATGCAGCCCAGGATACAGTTGGCTTTCTGGGCTGCAAGTGAACACTGCTGGCTCATATTCAGTTTTCCATCCACTAGTACCCCCAAGTCCTTCTCTGCAGAGCTTCTCTCAATCCACTCATCAACCAGCCTGATATTTGTGCTTGGGATTGCCTTGACCCATGTGCAGGACCTTGCATTTGGCCTTGCTGAACTTCATGAGGTTTGCATGGGCCCTCCTCTCAAGCTTTTCAAGGTCCCTTAGGATGAAATCCCTTCCCTCCAGCATGTCAACCGCAGCACAAAGCCTGGTGTTATCATCAAACTTGCTGAGATCTTCCTGACTTCTCATGGTTTAGAGTCCATGGCTTATGATGTCAACATAAACTGCAAAAAATAAAAATCCTACACACGTTTTGTCACCTGACACAAACTATGTTGGCTCATAAGAGTGAGCAATGAGTTTAGTATCAGAGGTATGCTCAGGTATGGGGAGAGGGATTCCCTACAGCAGCAAGCAGAGCTACTTTCTATAGCAATAGTGCCCCAGATGTATGGGCAGAAAAAGGCATGATAGCAACCACTATCTACCTGAAACCCTGGCAAAGAACCTGCCAGAGACAAAAATAGCTGCAGGTAACTTCTTGCTCACCTCTCACATCCTGCTACTTCAAAGGCAAAAAGCATTTGCTGGAAAATCTGACCCTTTACTTACAGAGGGTTTCACTTGCTGTTTCTCCTGAGTGGTAACAAAGTTCAGAATACTAGGTCCCTGAGGGACTCCTCGCATGGAGCAGAATGAGGTTGGACTCCTGTCGGCAACTATTTAAAGAAATGCTACGGATGAACTCTGTTCAGAGCTGTAAAATATTTTGAATTGCCTCGATTCTAAACTTTAGACACACAAACATGCTATTAACATGCATTCTTTAAGACTGAGGTACAGGGAAATGTATAGTATAAAACAACCTATGGGAATCATCTATCATTTTAAGATTCTTCCCTTCCCCCTCTTCAAGGCAGGTTCAAAGTCCATCATGCTATGATATCTCAGTGTGTATTAACAGCCTGTCCCACCATTCATATTTTATTTCCATAATGTTAGTAAGGTTTTCAAGTAGCAAAGGAAAAGGACTCTATAAAATAAAATAATTCCATTGCTATGTATTTTTTAGGTTCAGGCACACCACTAGGACTTGTTTAAGAAGCACTGTCATTCTCAGATTCACCAGTAGTACAGGTATTCTGCTGTTCCCAATGGAATTACTTCTTGAAATAATTACAGAGCAAGAGTTCTTTGAATAGCTAGCCAGATGCTGGCATGCATATTGGAACAACAATGCAATAAAGCCAGGCTCAGCTTATGGGAGAAGAAATTCCTATTACACTGTTCTAGAGAGCTTTGGAAAACTAGCCTCAGTTTCCTTGGACTATCCATCAGCCTAGCTTGTCATTGATGTCATATAAATCACTAGATACAATAAGAGATTGCTGCAATCATTGCTCAAGCAATTCTTTCCCTCTTACCACATAAGGCCTTCCACATTATCAGCATTCCTAGTTAATATCTGTGTAAAAGCCATTAACAGGTACCTGAGATTGCACAGCATTGCCAAACAATAGACATCAGCTGTTTGACAAAGCTGTGGAAGAAATACTTAAATTATGTGAGGTGACCTGTTGTGTGAGTGAATGGATTAAATATTTCCAGAAATTTCACAGGCTCTAATGGTGTATTAAGAACTGGTGGTGGTAGAACAAGTGTATTTAGGGCTTGGAAATTAATATTTTTTCAGCCCTGCTGACAATATAATATCAAGATTTTTATCCAGATTTTCCATATCATTTAAATCATAAGGTACAAAAGAGAGAGTCCAGGACAATAGCCAGTTGATCCTTGCTAGATGACTAAAAACTGACTAGCATTTTTTTTTATTTTAAACGTATCAGTCTTAGAGACACCTCTGGAGAACTTTTCAGTGACCTCATTTTGTAGGTGGTAAGTGCTCTGCTCTTTGACCATGACAAGGCCTAGGTCTTATCTTCATTAAAGTACTTCATAAAGCCATTTAGAAATATTGCACTCATTTTTTACCTGGGGAAACAGAAGCATGGAGGAGTAAGAGGCTTCCCCATGCTTATTCATCAGGCCGCTGCCACACTGAATTTTACTGCAAGATTCCCATCCAATGTGATATGGTACTCAAAGATTTAAAAGAGCATGGTCAGGTCTTAATGGAATAAGCAATTTGCCTAAAAAGATACTTTTAAATTACATTATTAAAGTATTATTTTTATTTGCCTTCTGATATGTAAACTCTCTGGTAAATTATCAATTAATGATTTCAGTATTTTTCTTGAAACACAAGGGAGGTAGCCATGGATTAATTTCTTGAACTATGTAATCAATTTTTTTAAGCAGCCCGAGATTGTTATATACTCTGATGATTCAGGGAGAGAGATTTATGAAAACTTAGAATATCCCATAATTATTGTTCTATAAATCAGAGTATGGCATGGAAATTCTTGCAGGTTACTTCCATGGTATGATAAATTTGAGCATAAACTCTATGTTTCATTCATTTGCAGAAGCTTTCTTACCCTCAGCAAAAAGTTTAATCTTGATAAGGCTTCTAGAAACATATCAGCTCCTTTGTTGGAAAATTCATATCTCCCAGCAATGAAGAAAAATAAGGTCTTCTCAAAACTGAAGTCAAGGTGGCTGAAACCAAGCAAACAAACAGACAAGGACAAAGTATTTCTCAACATATAATCAAATACACAAGAGTTTTCTACTCTGGAGGAATTTATTAACCCAAGAAAATTACAAAAGTGAGGCTTTTCTGCTGTTCTTTAACTTAAGATGACTATCTCAATCTAATAAACTGCATCTTGGGTAAATAGTGAAAAACTCAAGACCTGATACCACAATCTGTTAAGCAGAGTTAGAACTGGTGTCTAAAATTCCTTTGGCTTCTGACTGAAAGATCCCAGACATTCAAATAAGCTGGTAACATTTCATCTCCTCTATAAAGTACTTGTTAGTCTTCCTGCTTTGGTTCTTGCTTTAAATAGTTTTGGACAACCATTGCTAATTTTTGAAAAGTAAAAGCATACCCATAGAAATGACCTCGAATGAACTCTTGGATCCTAGCCTTGTACATGGAATGCAAATTCTGAAACTCATGCATTGCTGAAAATTTCTTAATGTTCAAGCCATTTGGGGTGACAACATCTGGAAAAGCAGAGAAAAGGCAGAGGTAGACATCTTCAGAGTCAGAGAAATCTTTAAGGGAAGAACCAATGTGTCTTTCAGTTGTTAGTATGTGAACAGGTTATGTACTCTTACTACTCATGGATAGGGAACAGCACTGTCTAACACAATGCTCTCCTCCACCAGCTTACTCCACAAAGCTACTGCATGTGGCACTCTACTGTCTATCATACTGAAGTGGCTTTGTACCATTTTGACCTGTACTGAACATTAGCACAGATCCTGCTGAACAGTGAGGTCTCCCCATGCCCTTTTATCGTGTCAAGACTTAAGTATTGTCTCCAGTTAGCCATATGGTTTTTGTGCAATATGCCCTTTACCTCTTTATTCTTGATATCACTGTTGCCTTCATTACAACCATAGATTGAAAGCTCTTGAAAGCAGAAACTGTGCTGTACTATGCACTTGTTTACTGCATGGCACAAGAGACCTCTGCTCTGTCAAGACTTCTGAGGATTTATCAGAAAAGGGAGAATATAAGACAACTTTTTGAAAAGATCACCTTTCAGTAATCTGTTCGATTTCTCCTAAAAATAGCCACAGAATAGTATGCTTTACACTTTTATGGCTGCTCTTCTCAAAGATTCCAAAGTATCTTACAATTAAAATCTGATTATTTCCGGTATCTTCTAAGGTAGAGTTATAGGATATAAACAGTTCTAAGGATAAACATAGCTCTTTCCAACCAACACTGAAATTCAGTCACTTTTCACCTTTCTGGTAGAGCACAGCAGCTGTTTAAACACTTGCCCTAAATCTAGTTGAAGTAAATGGAAAGAATGCCATTTTCTTTTCTTTGAGTTAGCCATGAAAGCCATGTATGGAAATGAAAGGGGAGGCCAGTTCCTCAGAAGATGTATATCATAGTAACACAACTGACTTAAATAGACCTATTCTCATTTATGATACCAGCTTCTATGAAGATGCAAGAAGCACTAATTATTAGAGGATGCATTGGTGCCAACTCACACTTGTTTTCCTGGCAAGTGTCATCAGGTGTCTAGTAACCACAACCATTAACTGTAGTAATTTTAAACGTTCTAAGCATCTTCCAAAGGACATTCAGCAAGATCTCACTCCCTACCACACATGGTTCATGCAAATAAAAAACAGCATCTCTCTGATCTCAGTGCACATGCTTAACTCCCCCCATACATGAGGGTCTACTGATAGGACTACAGTCTCTTGTTTGCCACCAATGCAGGACTTGAACATTACTTCTATTGTGGTCTTTTGGTCAAGGCTGTCTGACATTCAGGGTTTCCCATCCCTTCCCCCAAAAGCAGAGGTTTGCATGTCTGCATTAAGCATCCGACCTAACACAAAACTGTCTCATTTCTGGGGAGACTTATGGAAATGTCTTTAAAACATCTGTGGCTCCTTTCATTGTTTTCATGTCAAGATTATCTCAAAATAAGTACAATCTGTTTTCCATATGCTGTCTAGTATACCTGCCTGACATTTTTCATGCAAATGCCACAGCCATTTTTAATTACATCCTCGAAATTTACAGTTTACTTTAGCAGTATATGTATTTCCCTGCCAGGTAAGTCATCTCTGATTAATCTTTATCTTGTAAAGTGTTTTGAGGCTCTCTAGGTTAAACAGCAGTAAATAAAAATATAACCTTTATTAGTACCCATGAAATACCAGAAATTTTGATGGCTCTGTCTTGAAATACCATTTGAAACTAAATACCAGCCTTTACCAGGAAATCTATTTGTTATGTACTTAGGATTTGGTTCTCAGTGACAAGAAAGGAATCTTGGTGGGCTTGGCAAGAAAACTTGTGTTCTTATCTTCTATTGCCCAGAACTAGAAATTGCTCTGAAAAGACACCTATGTGGCTTCATATGAGTGGGGGCTCAACAGAGCAGAAACACCCTGCATTTCTCTTTACCAACAACATATCTTCTTCTTCTTACCTGCTTCTTGTTCAACGTGGAACTGGATCATGCAGTACATAGCTTTGAGACTGCAATAATTTCAAGCTCTTCCCAATAAAGTAAGAATCCTTGACTGGGTATTTCTGGCCAGTTTCCATACACTCTCTCGTATTTATTTATCAGGGAGTTTTGGACACTCTCACCCATTCTCAGCAGCCTGTATATAACTCCCTCCAATGTTCTTTGATTCAACTGCAGATTCATTTACCCTTTCATCAGGACTGGGGCTCAATCCATCTCTTATTTAAGCCTTTGAAATACAGAACAGACGTGGTGGCCCAAAGCACCCAGTTCACTATTTCTGCTTAACATACAATAATATTTTGAATACATGTGAGGCAATGTGCCCTTGCTCTAGGGAAGAAGTGATGAAAAAGAGCTTAATTCCTATTTTAAATTCTGTTTAATGAATTAATGACATTTCTATTTTTAAATTGTCCCAGGTAGGTCACACCAGAATGCTCTGACTTCTGTATTTATAGGAAAGAAACTGGTATTGATTTAAGTAATAATAGCACAGTGTGATGTTTTCTGTTAATTAAGTCATTAAGATTCAGGCTTGAATCATACTTTTTCAGAGTTTGCTTCTATGATTTTGATCAAATATGTACAGCTATGAAGTCTTGATATAAATCTTAACCAATACCTAAGTCTCTTGGAATTCTGATTCAAAGTCTTCTCTACTGCTAATAAGAAATGTGTTTCATACCTGAATGAAAATATTAGAAATCCCATAGTATCAGTTTTCAAATCACGGGAATATAATTTATGATCACTGACAGAATCTTGCATGATACATCGAAGAAAACAGGTTCAACATTAGATATTCAAGTTTGACAAATACGGTTTGATAAATTACTGATCGAATAACGACAGCAGCAAGTGAAATCAGTGTAAGGCAAGCAGCCATTCAGCCAGGTTCAGACTGGCAAATCAGCCTTTGTCCTGTTGCAAAAGCTCTCTATGCAATCATGTCTACAGAATTTTAAAGGGGCTTTTCCAAGTGATGAGATTTATAATTTAAATTCTAATCCAAGTTTAATGTTAATTAATTAAATGAACTGCTCTACTTAGCACATTTCCTCAGTTATACTGACTTAACAGCTTTGTTACAAAGATTATCTCTCAATAAATTCAAATGCAAATAAAAGTTAATTGTGCCCCTTCTGCCTTCCCCTTTTAAAAGTTTTTTTAAAGTGGGTCAAGAAGTGCACACATTCTTTCAGTATTCACATTCCTTTGCGGAATTCAGGCTTAATGATCTACTGAAGGACTGCTGACTTTTCTGAACCAACAACCAATGCCTATGTGCATTTCACAACTTCAGAGAGAATAAATAGTATGATTAGTAATAGATTCTTACATAGTTTATTTGTGGTCTAAGATTCAAAGAAACTATTGAATTACTTATTCCCATCAGAACACCTTTTCCATTTATAACTGTCTCTTAGGATATGGGGTACCAATTGCTATTGAATTTTTTTCTAGCTCTGTCAACATGAAGCATGGTATGTGTCAAGAATTTTTTAACCCAAACATGAAACATATTTACTCAGTTTCTTCAAAGTTGCAAGAATAATCAAAAAAGCTCAGGCCTCTGAATCTCTGCATGGAATTCTCTTCAGCTTCAACTGATGTTCTATCTGTAAGCAGTCTGCAGATCTTCTCTCCCAAATTAAACTGAATTCAGACTCATTTCAGTCTCCTAAAATCCTACTACATAAACTATGTTTTCAAGAGTAGCTGCTGTGGTGAGAAGCTTCATACCAATATAAAACAACTTCAGAAGTATGATTTTCATAAGTCAAGTGCTCCGCACTTGGTAAAAATTAAGACCTTTCAGAGATATCCCAGATTAGATGACTGAACACTTAAATTACTTTTAAGACACAGGTGTCATGTTTAAAATAAAAAGGAAAAATCTTCTAAGTTCATCACCCTATTGACAATCAGTCATGAACAAGGCAAAAGATCCAGTGGACAGCTCTTTTATCCTGATTATCATGATGTGGCTTAAGCACTGAAGTTAACAGTCCCAACTATAATTAGCACTGCAATTCATCTAAAAAAAAAAAAAAAATCTACAAAGTATAAGCAAACCAAAAAAACCCAAAGTCATTTGAGCATTGCTATACTTAAAATAACTAACTCAGATGCGAACACTGAAAAATTGTCTCAAAATTGTTGTGCAGATTTTTCCCCCGTGATGCTTACCTGCGATTGAGTATTGTGGCTTGTCCTTATAAAGTTACTGTACTGATTTAAAGAGAACTTTAATGACACATAAAACTGGGACCATGACCTTATTCAAACTCCATGCATGGAACATGACAAGTTTTGTTGGCAAGTTTCATATTTTATGAGACTAAAACAAAGGGAAGAATCAGACAACATGTTGGGTACATACCTCAACTATTTTTTCAAACTGTACTGGTTGGTCTAATATTTATCTATGAAACTTATCATGGTTAGGTCCCCAGATTGTGATGACCACAACCAAACTGCTGCTCCAATTTGTGAGAGATACAGGGAAATGAACTGTATTGATTTACAGTTTGGTTTTTGCCTTCTCATCTCTTTCAATATTAATTTTCAATATTAAGTAAAGAAAAGGAGCATTAGCACTGGAAAGTAAAACTTATCTAACATTCTGTTTTGCATATGAAACTTTTTGTTGCATTTCTAAAAGAATATACAACTCATCTCTAGCAAAGCACTCACACTCTAAAAGCTGGTGAAATGTATTACAAACATTCCAGCTTCTGATTTTGTCAGTTCGCCTGAGTACATTACCACCACTGGAAACCCTGCTATAGACAAAACTACTGAAGCTGAGATGTCCTTGCAGAGAAAGTCTAACATCCATGGAGTTAAACTAATGCTCTCCTGAAATGATACTGAAAGCAGTTCTTAAATGGTGCCGAACTTGATTTCTTCTAGATTACACATGCTACTAGAATGTGTTTCAAGTGATATTAACCTGCACTTTTCTTTTGAAAATTGATTATTCCCTGTAGTGTAGACAGACATACCTATGCATGTGTTCTTGTTCTTCATGTTTGTGTACCTGTCTCTAATTATTTTCATTCAGTCTGTAGAAATTAAGATACTCAGAGGAAATATAGTAAGAAAACAATTCAGGTCTTACCAGGATTTCTTTTAAGCATATGTTCTGCTTCTATAGCTGTTATCTGTGAAACTGTAGTGAACACATGGGCACAATGTACAGATGCCCGTTCCATACAGTATCGATGGTAAATCTGTCTCTCTCCTGCTTCCTTGTCAATGTCAAACTGTTAAATAATAAACAGAAAAGACACCTGTGTTATATGCTCATTAGACTTATTACTACAAAGAAAGTTTCTTGTGTTAAACTCTATTTCCCCAAGAAATATGAACCATATGATTATGCTGTTGGCTTGTCTTTCTGGTTTTTGAACCATTTTATCAACTTCAAAGTCTGAAGGAGCAAGAGAGAGGTCTCAGTTCCCACATTTGTGAAAAAATGGCAGCTCTGTAGTGGAACAAGACCTACATGAATGATCCCATGAAAGGTAAGGATTTGTGCTATTTGGCCTGCTGTCTGGCAAAAGTCATGCTGAATCTTGCCTGGGCTTGTTGGGAAATTTGAGAGAGCAGGAAAGTTGCTGATAACTGAAGATATAAGGGAGAGAATTAAAAAGGAATGGGGATGAGGAGAGAACCTGGGGACTGGGTAGCATGGTGGGAGTTACGAGTAGGCAAGAGAGAAATGGAGTTGTGTGGGAGAGGTAGGATGTAAAGACTCAGTCACAAATCCTGAGGGAACAAAGAAAATAGAAAATGAGATATTTTCTGATACTCAGAGATCTTCCTCCAACTCCACCACTCTTATTTGCCGCTCCTTTTACTTCAATCTGAACTTCATTCATTTTTAGAGACAGATGTCAATTAAACTGCGAGATAAGACACCAACATATTTCTAAATCACCTTTAAACCTTGCAGCTACCCCTTCTTTTACTTGAGCTTACATTGTCCTGATGGGAAGAAAATCCACAATACCTACTGAACCCATGCTCAAAGGTTCAAACGTCCACTGCAGAATCGCTACAATGCAGTCTATAAAAGAATAAAGCTAATGGGGTGTAAATCATTACAATTAAATTACAATCCTCTTACATGATGTTTCACTTCTGGGAACAGAAGTGTTGACCTCCTGAGGTTAACAGCATGGACAAACAAATAACACAAATTGTGTGAGTTATGTGAAGAGTGAGAATGACTTTCAATTAGCTCTGTCATTATCACTGTCTAACACTAGGTGCACAGCCTGATTTGCATTTGACTCTAACTTCATCGACCATAATAGATTTAACCATTATTATAGGCTGGGCAGACAGCACTTTCTACAGTTAGGACTACCTGACCTTTGCCACAGCTAGTTGCTTTTAGGACTTCAGAACTTAGTCAGAAGTAAAGGTAATTAGACTGTGTCTTTTTATGCTGAGTACATGTTTAACGTTGGTAGAGAACATATTTTAAGAAATTCCAGCAAATGTGAACCATTTCAGGGAACAAGATTTAAGCAAGTAATTTTTTATTTTTACTTAGGTATACAGATATCTTACAATTTTTTTTGCTAAGAAACAAGTGCTTTTAACCACTGAGCACTCTAATTTTGCAGTGGTGCTACACTGGTGGTGCAAAAGCAGCTTCCACTGTATTAGTTTAAAATACCACACTAATGTAACCAGAAAGAGTCTTGAAAAATCTCAGTGGAAAAGTTCTAGAGAAACTAGATGTTTTATTTTGGTATTGATGATCCTGTATGTCAAGAGTTTCTAAGTTTGCTGAAGAGATTTTTAGAAAAGCTAGGAAATACGCTTTAACACAATATGATATACGTTATGATACCATTTTCCAGTTGTATCATCATCTATTGTACCTTCCGTGTTTCCCATGAGAATTTTGGTGCATGAAATACAAAAGAAGTGTTGAGCATTCACATCTATGTCTGAAATTCAAGGACTACACTCTGAAGTTATACAGGACTTAGGCACTGCTAACTCCAATAAAAGCTTCCCTAGAAAACTGTGCATGATGCAGCTATCTCCCCTCATATGAGTGTGCTAAACTAATCAGCTAATGTTTCTGGAGCATCCAGATACCACTAATGAATGCTGCAAAACAGCTCTTAAGAAAACCACTGATACGATCTTCAGAGCAGAAATCTTAATTGCATGTTGTAAACAAAGTAGGAAGCTGCATATTGAACAATAACAACACCAGAAATCATTATGATTGTTCAACCATCCTTTGTTCAATCATCCATTGTATCTTGTACCAAAGAGAGAAAATCGGGCAGTTCTTTAGCATGCTGGGCAAACATGCAGATGGGATACGGTACCCCTGAACAGTCAAAACCATGCAACTTTTTTCAAATACATCTGACTTTGTATTAAAAATAATTATAAAATTGCTAGCAAACAAATAGCTGGACAAACTTTTAAAAGTTTTTGTTCTATTTTCCCTTTCGCACCAAGAATGGGTTCAATCAGAAGATGTAATTAAAAAATAAATTTGGGACATGTTCACTAACTGTAGATAAACACTCCCTCCAACACTACTGGGAGAAAAGTTCGTAAAAGGACTACGGCTTATTTCTAGCTAGCTTTTATTTCTTTGACTGCATGAAAGTGTTTTACACATTTAACACACACACATGTTGATGTTTATTTCTTCATTGCTATTCATTTTTTTATCTTCTGGAAATGGGAAAGATTATATTTGACATATGCTTGCATGACTTCTGGCACACTTTTTCAAAGCTACACAATTCCATGTCTATTAGCAAGTATAATCTGAGGTCACAGAGTTCCACATTTCTTTTGCTTTCACTCTCCAGGAGTTTTCTCTACCAGTCAGTAAAGCAAGATCTTGACCGTTGACCTCACAGTGTGGAGTAAGAAGCCTCATTGTGCAGTTCTAAGCAGGCTAGATGAGTGACTTCAGAAAATAAGCCTCAGACAAGTTGAAGGACAGATTAATGGAACTTAATAGATGAGACAGTGCAGGAGACAAATTTAGTTCATGCAGCACTGTGCAAAGACAGCTGAGGTTTCTGTGACAGTATCAGCTCCAGAATTAGAGGCAACATGGAGCATGGCACTGTATTGAGCCAAATATACCTAAATTAAGCAGAACAACAGTGCAGCTAGTTTGCTCTTCACCCCCACCCCCAAAATGTTTCTGCTCTACAATTGGCTCTGCTGTTTGCATGCTTGTCCACCCTAGCTCAGGCACCTGTGAGAGATGTTCACATTCAGGGAGAGGAAAGCAAAGTATTTGTGAAGTCCATCATGCTTACTTTTGTTTGTTTGCTGTTATCAGCAAGTGGGAATACTAGCAAAACCACAAATGAAAGCTGCATCAAGAGAAAAACAGATCTAAATCAGATTAACTGTTTATAGAATCATTTAGGTTGGAAAAGACCCTTAAAATCATTGAGTCCAACCGTTTCTTCCCTCAGTAACTTTTAAAGACAACTTCAATATCCACTTCCCTGTAAATATTCCACTGCTGCTCCCAGTGAGGATTCCCTCCTACTCTGACGGTTAGAAACCAAGCAGATTATCAGAATTTACATGATAGCAAGGATTAGAGGGGAAAAAAGCCTTCCTTATAAGGCCGCTCTAATTTCAAAGCAAAACAGAGGATGTTTCACAGGCATAATGCTTTGGAGTAAAACTTGCATTTGGTGCAGTGCAATTCTGAGGAAAAATTTCAGCTCTTTTCTGTCATTTCAATGGATCCATGTGATTAGCATAACATTTCATTCATGTCTTAAAATTCAACATGTTAGGGGGCACAGTAGGCAATCACGGAACCTCCCAGCACAACATTCTATTTAAGACAGCTAAGATGATCTTTTAATGCAAAAATAAGAGAATATCAAGCAGTTCTGCGATACTGGTGTTATGTTTCTCTTGGAAACAGTGAACAGTCACTGAAGTAATAAATCCAAATCAGATATTCCTACTTCAAAATGATAAAGACAAATTGCAAAGGATTTACAAGAGCACAAAAAAAATGATTTCAGAGTGGAAAGGAGGAAAGACTATACTAGCCAAGTAAAGACTTATCCGAAAAGACAGATAAATTATTTGTCACAGTGCATACCATCTCTAGGTACTGGTACTAGACTATGCTTTCATATAGTATTAAAAAAAAAAAAAAAGTATGATGCAAGCCAATGGAAGTTAAAACATGACAAAAATCAAACTGGAATTAAAATACAAGGTTTTTTTGATGAATGACTTTGTCACACCTTTGTGTAAATAATATAGATTCCCCTCACCATTTGAACCTTACTCAAGAGTGAATAGTATTTTTATAAGTAGTTTGTGTCTCAGATAAAAGTTATAGGTTTGATACATGAATTTTTAGCTGAGGATTTTAGGCAGAGAATGACATGATCTCTTCTGGTCTTTAAACCAGTGGCACACTCAAGTTCACAGGCAATTCTGCAGTGGAATCAGGAACAGTCAGAGATGGGCCTGAAGTTCGAAAACCTTATCTACCAAAAGGTAGAATGGAAAGATCTTCACTTCTAGCATAATCACTGACTGCCATTGTCTAAATTATATAAGAATTATTTTTATTCATTCTGGTATAGCTCTGCCATGCCAAAAAAGAATGAAATTACACTTCCTGGATTAAGTCTGATTTCCATTAGCTGCTCTACTAACAAAGCAGATCAGCTTTGAATTAACAGCGAGTTCAGCAACAGCCATGATAGTACTGTACTAAGTGGAGAGAGCTTGTGCTTTTACACTGTCAGCATAAAAGCTCTTGACTATTCATTTTCATTGTGATTTTTAGTACTTTTCCTTTTAGACTTCTTGGGATAGAATTCTCCAACGATTTTGCAAATTAGTTTCAGCTGCATTTGTATGAGCTGAATGTAAAATAGTGCTAGGTGTAAATAAGTGTTACACATTGGCAAGGCAACTTTATATAAGGAAAAAGGCAATGGAGAATAAGACTAATTTTTTTTTCTTCTCCTTAGAGCACTTTTTCCATTGTAACTCAAGGTGTTTTTTTTAGTAAGAAGCATCAAGGCTGAAGCCTACAAGCTTCTCCATTATGCCAGGCCAGTGGTCCACAAAATAATTTCAGATGGTCATCTCTCAGATGAAATTCCAGGCTAGATCACTTGCCAAAAATACTGTTCCAAATACAGCTGTCAATTCACTTAGGAACTTGCCTGGATCATCAGTGTCTCTCAGTCAATTTATGAAAGGTGTTCATCTAATTAAAATCCTAGAGTGGTGAAATAAGGCCAGAAAAAAAACCCAAACAACCAAAAAAACCCCCTAAATAAGACAGTCCCCCTAAAGAGTGGGGAAAACAATAAAATATCAATATTCTTGATCTTCAGCTGAGAAGTCAGTTCCTCCTGAAGAGAAAAAAGCTCCACAGGCTCAGAACTTTTTTCACATAACTTCCTACTTCCTGGATTAGCTATTTTCATTCAGTTTATTTTAGCAACAACCACAACCTTACTCTCACCAGTGTAAATGCTACACTGGACATGGAGACAATAGGGAATAAAAGCATTGCAGGTTGGACTACTTAGACCTACAAAACTTCTTAAGCATAGATAAATCTATGATAGTATCTCTGTTGTGAATTAAGACCATAACATATCTTGCTTGTTACTGAAACTAGAAAGTGTTTACTTTGGAAGGGTCCAAGTCAGTAACCTGTAGGTAAGGGTAGCAGTACCTGACCCATCTGTTTACACATGGTCTTCAGATGCCTGAAAGTAGATAAAAATATCACCCACTACCACTTACCATGCAAGTCACCTTCTGTTTTGTTCTTTTTGTTTTCCCTCCCTTCCTTCTTCCAGTATCAGAGTGATTTAAATGTGAATCTAGGAACTAAAACGTACACTGAACAGTTGTTAGCTCAGACATAGGCCCATGTGTTGTTTGTTACATGCTGCTGAGGACACAACAGTGTTACTTCTGGTGTGCACTGTGATCCTGTACACACTGTTGCAGGTTTATCACCCAGGTTTCCACTGCAGCAGAGATAGCTAAATTTCTCCCAGTCCGGATTAACTGTTAAGACTGTAAGAATATAAAAATTGTATAATCTCACGGTTGCGTAAGAAGTCAGGAGTCAGACAACATTACAGTCTTACATCCATAGTGCACTCTCCTGTCTTCCAGTGATCTACAGCTCTTATCTGCTATGTTGACTGGGTTTTCAGTCCCCCAGAAAATGTCCTTTTACCGCTTACAGGGTGACATATGCCTTAAGCTCATGAAACAAAGAATTTTGGTAACCTATAGTTCTGGCCTCTAGGTGACTTAGGAAGTCCATAAAGAATCGTACCACAGTGTGGCAACCCTTCCCTAAATCATTCTTACCTTTTCCCCAGAAGACTAGTAAGGCCAAAGGTCACATTTTCACAGATCCAGTGTTTCTGACGACTATGAGAAGACCATATAGAGCCTTCACTTCCAGTTTTATCACCTGACAGGGCCTGGTGACTTGAGTTCTTTGTTCATAGAAATGATGGAGAAAACATCAGCCACCCTGCACTGAACAGCCCTTTGCCTGATCACTGATATTAACATTCACTCCAAATAGGTTGGGATTTGGGCCAAAGTCTTCTCTGGTCTAAAGCTACTGAGCTCACTGGCTTACTTCAGAGAATACGTTTCTACCTTCTATACTTGTGCCAACTGGCACCTATTAGCTTTGCTAGAAAGTTGGTATTTTCCACTCCAAAATCCAGAGAAAAAAAGAACATCTTGATAATTCTTACATTTTAAAAAGAGATCTTTCAACTCATCTCATATCTTCTGGTGCTGCTTATCTACAGGGGTGGGTCAACACTGAAGTGGAAGTGTACCTCACTGTGTGGGCATGTGCACACATGTGTGTGTGCGTGTGCAGAGCAGGCAGGGCTGATTGACAGTGTTGACAAGAGTGTGTTACAGGGCTAACAGGAAATATTACAGTGAGGAACAACACACTGGTCACACACACCCAGGGAGGCCACTGTGAAAGGAAAGAGAGAAAGGACTGTGATAATTCCAGGTAAATATCTTTCATCTGTCACGAAACAATCATGTCATGATTTTGCCTGTGGATCCCATTGTTAAATACTTCAACATTGCAGAAAAGCACTTGGCCTCAGGGGGCTCTCTCTTGTAGGGATTCTAAGCCATTTTTTTTGTAGACTGTGTTGTGGACTAGAAAAGGGAACATGAGGTTTCCTCTTTTCTCTGTACTCCTGTACATGCCTGATTGTCTCTAGGCACAATTAGGCCATACCCTTTCCTTTTGAGCTGCAATCATTTTTCTGTGGTATCTGGCACAGCACATGCTACAGTTGGATCTTTCCTACCTATCTCAGTTTCTCTGCTTAAAGCTGGTGGAAATTGTGCTCTAACCATGAAACACTGATCAAAAGTGAGAACTTAAAGTCAATTATTATTATTCTTTAAAGGAATAAAATTATGCAACAGAACTGAAACAGAAAAAATAACTATTATACTTTGGGGTGGGAGGGGATGACACAACCTAAAAAGATATTGTCTCATTCAAAGATTAAACATTAGGAAGCCCTGGAGAATCTTCTTCACTGGACAAATTGCTTGTTTGACGTTAATAGTTTACTAGTAGAAGACAGCAACAGAATAGCCTCTGAAGACTTAGCTGTCTCTAATTACTGTACTCTAGATCACCCTCTCCTGTTTCTCAACTGACTTTTGGGCCAGGCTGACCTTTTTACAACCAAAGGAGCCCTCATTAAGATATCTGATCTCTTACTAGGAGTTAACTTTGTCAGGAAGAGCTTTAGCACCCTATAAGCATGTTAAACAGTAGTACAGCAGTTTGGCATCACTTCCTCTATTAGTACCTTTAAACATCAATCTCTCCACAGAGGGCATAGAGCATTATGGTCTAGAAATCCATAAGTTTCTTCCCTTAAGTATTATTTACAGCAGTTTATAGTAGTACTCTAAACTGATACATATGTTTCATTCCATATATTCTCAGAATAAATTCTGAATAGAAATTTCTGTATTTATGACGTAGCTGATAGTTACTAATGGGATTTGTGAAGCTTTGCAGAAGGATGGACAATGCCTTATCGCATAAAGTTGGCCATGTCATGTGTGAACAGTAAAAATTATATTAATATTGTGACTAGATCATAAATGTATTAAAATCTGTGAGTCTGGTCAGATGCAAGATCATTACTTTTGAGTACAAAGACAGAGGTGAGACCCTCAAAGTTATCATGAAGGGAAAAAAAAGGTGCTTTTGAGAAAAGCAGACTATTTTGCCAGACTACTTTAGCTCACCAAATTAACCAGAATACAAAACAAACCAAAACTGTTTGAAAATTTTCTTTACAAAAGGAAGGCAAAGCTCTGACATAGTAATTTTAGCATCACTTTATAAAACAATCAGCATTCTTTTTTTTTTTTAACCCTAATTTCTAATTTTAAATGCCCCCCTCCCCC